AGCCCGCGGCCGCAGGTAGGGGTTGGTCGGGAGGCGGCGGAACGCGGGGGCGCTGCGGAGGGGCGCGGCCGGGTGGGCGCCAAGGGACCGCAGCGGAGCGAGTCCCGGCCTGGGCGGGCCGGAGACTTGGGTGGGGGGACGAAGCTGGAAGGCCGAGGCTTGGGGGCTGGGGGAGGGGGGCGCAGCGCAGCGTCCGCTGCAGGTTCTTGGGCTGGAGCCCCACCCCCAACTTTCTCGCGTCCGGGGCTCTTCTGGCGGGGTGGAAGGGGAAGGGAGTGGGGCTGTGGGCTGAGTGGTCAGAGGGGATTTTCCCGCCTCGACGTGTCTAGTTGTTTGCTCTCCCCTCCCAGTCCTGGGGACCCCATTCTGCCCGCCCTGCACACGAGAGCCCCACTCTGAAACCACAGGGGCTGGACTCAGCACCCAAGAGGCACACCTACCCCATTTAGGTACAGGGGCTGTGAGGGTGCCCAGTCACGGAAAACATCTGGACATACTCTAGTTCCTGTACCCGCTCAGAGCTTCCTGAAACGGGGAATGCTGGCGAGGATGGGCTGGAGCGAGGTTGCTGGTCTTCGTGGGGGCTAGCCTTGTGTTCCCACGTGGCCATGGAGACATTGGCCGGTTATAGGAGGGCTCCTCTCCAAGTTCCCAGGTCCCTCTGGGACTGTTGGGTGTGTACGGGGTGTGAGGTCATCCCTCCCTGCCCTGTGACCGGCCCTGTGTCACAGGCTAAAGCAGCAGCCTCAGCTGGCACCTTGTCTGAGATGGCACTCCCTGCTATAAGAGATTCTCAGGGAAGGGAAGGCAAAGAGTGACAAGTTGACAAGTATTTACAAGCTGAAAGGTGTGTATCTCAGGATCAGAGAGCCCAAGAATTTGCCCAGGGTTGCACAGCAAAGGGCAGGAAGATGCAGGACTGGATTCAGCTCTGTGGATAGTTCACCTGCCCCTCTGCTTAAAAACATGCCAGGAGACCAGGAGGGGTGTGTGTGTGTGTGTGTGTGTGTGTATGCAGAGGTAGCATTACGCAAGGTGGCTCCTGTTGGTGTGACAGTAGCTCAGGGGTCTTGGGCTCCCTCTTCAGGGCCCCTCCCCTCCCTTCTACCTCCTACCTCCCTAGCACCCGCCCCTGCACACATTCAGGTATTAATAGAGCGGGTGGCTGCCAGGAAGGCTGCCATGTGTTTGATCTGACGTGGTTCTGCAGCCATATGTTCTCCACTTCAGGGGAGCACCCCCTCCTTCTCTTCCTCAGCCTCCTTTCATTTGCCAGGGTGGGGTGCAGGGGCGTGCCAGCAGCAGTGTGAAGTCTGGCCAGACACCTCGGGCGGGCAGAGAGCTGGCCGCCTGTTGAACTACAGGGGTGCAGCGGTACCTGCCCCAGGTATATGTGAGGGCCCCACCTTTTTAGCCTGGCTTGCCTTCCTTTTGGTGGTTGGGCTTGAACTTAACATGGCCCAGTCAGGAGGTATGGGGAAGAGGTCACTTCCTTGGAGCTGGGGGGAACTTGGCAGTGGCAGACATGTGGCTGGAGAGCTTGTCATTTTCCTTCCCCCAGCCAAGGCCCAGGCCACCTTCCCTCCCACACTGTCCAACCTCTGCTTTCTTGACCATTAGCTGAGGATGAGCCCTCTGACCCAGAACCTAGGTTCTGGAAGAGGATGGGGGATATTTCCAGGGACAGAGTCCCTGTCAAGCGGGTTGACACCTTCTCCTTCCCACCTCTCAGGCCTGAAGCTCATGGGAGCCCCGGTGAAGCTGACCGTGTCTCAGGGGCAGCCAGTGAAGCTCAACTGCAGTGTGGAGGGAATGGAGGAGCCCGAGATACAGTGGGTGAAGGACGGGGCTGTGGTCCAGAGTGTGGATCAGGTGTACATCCCAGTCAGTGAGCAGCACTGGATTGGCTTCCTCAGGTGCAGGACCCTGGGGGAGAGTGTGCATGCCAGCCTGGGGGCAGGTTGTGCTTTTTCCCTGGGCTTGGGAGCTGGGGGCAACGTTGATGCCCAGAGGTCTGGGTTTTTTTATTCGGCAACCTGTGGAAACTTCCAGAAGTGGGGGCAGGCTGAACCCACTGAGTCTGCCCAGCATAGCTGCGCACCCCCTTGACCCTGGGAGGTGAGCCTGGTGTCCTGTTTCCACAGCCTGAAGTCAGTGGAGCGCTCTGATGCAGGCCGGTACTGGTGCCAGGTGGAGGATGGGGGTGAAATGGAGACCTCCCAGCCAGTGTGGCTCACTGTAGAAGGTGAGGAAGCAGAGACATGAGTGGGCATGTTGGCCTGGAGCAGGTGCTGTCTGCTAGTGACCACACCTCTGCAGAAGAAAGCTCAGTGGAAGCTGATTTGCCCCATTGCCCTCTGAGGCCCGATTGCTCCAGGCTCCAGGCCTTCCCTACCCCAGACATCGGAAGACCCTACTCATTGGAGTCTGGGTATTTCACAGCCAAGGGGGTGATGAGGACCTCCAGTCTATGGGGTGCAGTCAGTTTCAGTTGTCTGAGCAGCAAGCCTAAGCACCCATCTGGGGCTGGACCCTGTTCTGCCAAGTGGCCAGGCCAGGAGGGGGAGGGCTGGGGGAGGGGAGGAAGGATCCGCAGCTGCGGGAGCTCAGAGCTGTTCAGCTCAGGAAAACAAAGTGACTAAGAAAGTAACAAAGGGCCCTGAACGGGATCTGGGGCCTGCCAGCAGAACTCTGCTAAAGCTTCCGCCCACTCCCCCTCCCTTTCTGACCTTCCCCCAGCTCCCCACCCTCTGCCTCCTCCCCTGCTCTGGGAAGGCCGTCAGAGCAGGTCTGGGAAGCGAGAATCTACCATGCCCAAGGGGACAGCATAAAGGATATTCCTAAGGTGCCCAAAGAAGGGAAGCTTCCCCCCTCAAGCTAGACGTCTGTTCTGCAGTTTGACCCAGTCCTAAGGGACCTGTAGGACCTTCTGCATAGAGGGCTGCAAATGGTAGCAAACTTGTGGCTTGGGTAGTTGGAAACTGAGAAGTGGCAAGGCTCATCCCTCCACCCCCCTTTCTCCCCAGGTGTGCCATTCTTCACTGTGGAGCCGAAAGATCTGGCGGTACCACCCAATGCCCCTTTCCAACTGTCTTGTGAGGCCGTGGGCCCCCCTGAACCTGTTACCATTGTGTGGTGGAGAGGAGGCACGAAGGTGTGGGGGCCCGCTCCCTCTCCCTCTGTTTTAAATGTAACAGGTGAGCAGCCTCAGGAGGGGGCTTTGAGTAGGGTTGGTGAGGCTGGCAGCATGCAAATCTGTGCAAATCACCAAGTCTGCTCTTGTGAGTGTCCAAAGCACACCCTGGTGCCTGGGTACGTGAGCTGCACCGTTACTAAGCTCATTAGTCAGGTGTGCCAGGCTGGCCAGGGAGCTGATCAGTGGTGATCCTGCTGGGCGTGCTTGAGGCCTCTGGAGCCTCTTTCCATCCTTCACGGTAGTCCGGGCCGCGCACAGCTGGCCCTGGGAGATGAGTCCTGTGAAACCAGGGGCACCCGTTCCCCCCACCCCTCCCAAGGGAAGGAGCCGGGAACCAGCCCACGCAGAGCTAGGAGGAGTGTCTGGCAGGCTTGCCTAGAAGACAAGAGTCTAGGGCTGCAGAGTGGGGAATGGCAGGGAGAAGGAAGGGGGGGTGCAGCACAAAGAAACAGGAGCCTCCTCTCCTAATGACCCTTTCCAGAAATTTCTAGACATTTTCTCAAACAACTATATTTATCCATACCTCCACACAGCTAGACCCAAAGCAGCAACGCTTGTACACCCACCTGGACCCCAAGATCCTCAGGCACATACGAAGCTTGTGAGGCTCCCTTCTCTGTGAAATAAAGCTCATGTTCCTGGTTGAGGCTTGAACTGACCAAAGAAGTTGGGAGGCTGAGCTTGGTCTCACATACTGGACGGTGGGAGGGATAGGTTCTGATGTGCCAAGTCCCCTAGCAATATGAATCTTGAGAAGAGGTGGGCTACCGGGCCTGTTCGGGAGGTGCTGGGTTGGAGCCTATGAGAGGGAAGTTCAGTTCTCTCCAGATGTGCGTGGTTGGGACCCTCCGGCAGCCGGCCTGATAATAAGCACTCACTGAACTCCTACTCCACACACCACACTGTGGTAGGCACCATGGGGGATCGAAGGAATACAAAAGATATAGAAGCCGTCAGTCCAGCCCCCAAGGAATTAGTGTAATTGGGGAGACAAGACACATGCATAAGATGCTGAGAACTATTGCAGGGCAAAGAATCTGCAAATCAACAATGATGCGGGCATAGAGCAAACAGAGAAGGGCTCTGGATTGTACAATAGAGGAACGAACAGAGAAGGGAGGCAGCTTTGTGCTGTCTGCGGGAGGTGGGATTGAGGCAGGGGGAGTAGTATGACCTTTCTCAGGTGCTTACTGTGTGCCGCGCGCTTTATGTGGGTTTGCACAATCCTCCCAATTCAAGAGATGAGAAGACAGAGCCCCAGCCCTGGGGTTTATAGCCAGGCTCGTTAGACTCCAAAGTCCCTGGTTGTTCCAACCTGTCTAGCCCCTTCCTCTGGCTGGAGGGACTTCTAGGATATTCAGATCCAGAGCCTGCACAAACCCCCTTCCCCAGTCCCAGGCTGAATGGGAGTTGCTGCTTGGGGGGCGCTGACTGAGGTTTTCTGGCGTCAGGGGTGACCCAGAGCACCGTGTTCTCCTGTGAAGCTCACAACCTTAAAGGCCTGGCCTCTTCTCGCCCAGCCACTGTTCGCCTTCAAGGTAGGAGGACTGGCAGGAGGGAGGGAGGGTGAGTGAGGCAGGGGCGTTTGCAGCCAGCTGTCCAGCAGCCGGGTGAAGTTACAATCATTTGGTGTTCGGGCTTCCCGAGGCCCTGCTGGGACCTGAGGGATGAAGGGTTAATTGGCAGAGCTCCATCCCTAGTGAGAGCACCTGAGACCCTGCCATGGCTGAGATGAGAATAGAAACCTGACGTCACAGCAGATTTCCCATCACGATGCAGAGTCCTCGGGAGGGAAGAAGGGAGAGAGGGAACCAGCAGGAGATGGTCAAGGCTCATGCCCAGCCTTGCTTCTGCCAGTCCCTGTGGAGGGAATGGGGCTGGGAAAAACAGCCTAGCAGCATGATAGCGGAGATCCAAAGGGCTGGTGTGCACAAAGGGAGGGAAGTTGGGAGGGAGAGAACCAGTGTGGGGGGGGAATGGGTTGTGGCTGCAGGGGCTGCCTCTCAATTGTCTCTCCCAAGGCCGAGGTACTGTTGTCCCCCCTTCCCCGCCACACCCACTCTCTGATCCTATTCCTTGGCCAGATAGGGACCCTGATTCAGAGAGAGGCGACCTCTCCCCGCAGCCAGCTGATAACACTCTCCCTGGTATGAGCAGCTCTCCCCTACTGGCTTCTTGGCTTGTATATGACTGTGGTGCTGGGAGTGCTGGGTAGCCATCATCAGGTTGGGGGGACCCCAGGCCTTAGGGAGGGACTTGAGGCTTGACTCCTTCCCAGGCACTCGAGTCCAGGACACTGACTCTCACTCCTTGTCCACAGCACTGCCTGCAGCCCCCTTTAACATCACAGTGACAAAGCTCTCCAGCAGCAATGCTAGTGTGGCCTGGACACCAGGGGCCGATGGCCTGGCCCTGCTCCAATCCTGTACGATCCAGGTAGGGAGGACAGGCTCTCCTGGCCATGTTCGTACTGTGGCTGCCTCGGTGGCACTTTGTTCACAGTGGTATCACATTTACCTACACTTGTCCATGGGGCTTGGTCTCCAGCTCTCTCCAGGTGTTGCTCCCTTACCAGGAACAGCCCAGCCCGCCCCTTATCGTAGGTGCTCTGGCCACCAAGTGACTTGGCAAATTGGCTCAAACCCGTACATTCTTCAGGCTGGAAAGCAGATCACTAGAGCAGATTTGGGATGCCTGGAGGAGTTTTTCTTCTGTCGGCAAAACCCCAAACCTTTGATTTAGCTGATACCTGTACCCTCATGCCCCATCCCCTGACTCATGCCAAAGAGAACAAGGGGACTAGAAGGGGTTCTAAGCCCCAGAGAGTGGAAAACCTGGGTGAGGTGATATCAAAAACAAGAGGCAATGCAGACTTGTTTATTTTCATCTGTTTACTCAAAGTTTTTAATGAGCACCTTTGAAACTGTTCTAGGCAGTTCCCCCAGGCAGGAGAGGCCCCTGCTCTGGGCTATACCATTTAGAGGACTCCACCCTGGCCCTCTTTTGGCTGCACCCTTGCCCCTGGGCAAGGAATCTATAGAGACAAGGGGATATGCCCATCTAGATCATGAGGACATCCCCTCCCCTTCCCCCAACTGCCACACTACACCATCTTCTAGATACTCAGGACCTCCGCCCTTATGGCCCCCAGTCTGCTTCTAGGACCTGTGTGGGCCTCCTCCCTGGTCCCTCCTTGGGAGGGCATGGTTTGTGCACCTCAAGTCCAAAGGGCAGCCGTTGTGGGGAATCGGTATGCAGGTAGCATTGTCCACACCGCGCAGTTGATGTTCCTCCCGGTACAGACCCTTGGCTCACAGGCTAGCTCTTCTTGTGCCACCACATTCTGGCTTGGGAATCCTAGGGATGAGAGGATTATAAATGCAAACCTGACCTTGATTGAAGCTTTATTTGTCCATATACCATCATAGGAAATATTTTGTCCAATAATTTGTTAGCTGATTTATAACATTTAAATATTTAGCCATATGGTATGTGGATCTCCATTTGTATACTTGTCCTGGGCCCCCAAAATGTGAGGTGAAGGCCTGGTTCACTGTGCTCCTAGGCTCCCAGTTACTCTGCCCTTGAGAAACTGAGACTTTGCACTCGCGTGTAGTTATAATAAATGGTAACCCTTCTAACCGAGTTATGTATCAAGCATAAAAGGGTATGAGTTTTCTGGAGTAGTTGGGAAAGTCTTTGACAGAAAACGTTGTATTTGCACTGAGTCTTAAAAGATGAGTTGGACTTTGCTAGGAAGAGCAGGTCATTCCAAGCAAAGGAACAGCATTTGCAAAGGAATGGAGGCGTGGAACTTGGTGTTATTAGAGTGGGGGCAGGTGGGAGGGAGTGGGTTGCAGGTGTTTGCTGATAGGCTCAGAGGAGGCATTAACTCAAGATCTCCCCCCACCTCCTCTGTCCCCTGCTCCTGCCCATGCCTATTGCATCTTCGGCCTCCCTCCTCTCCATCATTACTTTGCGGCTTTTCTGTAGGTGACACAGGCTCCAGGAGGCTGGGAGGTCCTGGCTGTTGTGGTCCCCGTGCCACCTTTTACCTGCCTGCTCCGGGACCTGGCACCTGCCACCAACTACAGCCTCAGGGTGCGCTGTGCCAACGCCTTGGGGCCTTCTCCATATGCTGACTGGGTGCCCTTTCGGACAAAGGGCCTAGGTAAGGGGCTTGCAGAGCAGAGTGGCTGGGCAGGGCCTGCACGGGGAACAGGCGATGTTGGCTTCAGTCCTGAATGAAGTTGCTTGAGAGAGAGGTTACCTGAAGGGGGGTTCCTGCCTCATTCAGCAAACACCGAGTGTCTGCTGTGTACCTATGAATTAGATAAATCCGGCCCCTTCTCATGCAGCTTTAGTTCTAGGGGTGGAGCAGACATGCAAATTAGAAAAGATCAGATCATTTGGTGAGGAAGAGTGCCCTCAGGGTGGTCCAGGCATACCCCCATAAAGAGATTGAAGTTTGAATGATAAGGAACAAGCCACACATGGGGGAGGGGAAATCACTGCAGAAGGGGGCACAGCAAGTGCAAAGATCCTGTGGCAGGAACTTGCTTGGAGTTCTCCTGTCAATAGCAGAGATGCTGGTGGGGCTATGAGGGGGAAGTGGTGAAGGATGCTGCTGAGGCAGTAACCAAGAGCAACACTGTACCTAGCAGGGTGCTGTGGGTCCTGCCATTGCTCACCCCTCCTCCACAGGACTCTGGGTGAGAGCAGTCAGAACTGGGAGGGAAGTCCTAACCCCCACCTGTAGCTGTCTGAGCTGTGTAGCTCTTGGGAGTTGGTTCCAAAGGCTAGCACGGGATGGTGATAGTGGGAAGGGCAGGGCTCTTAGCGGCCTTCTCTCTTTGGGTACAGCCCCAGCCAGTGCTCCCCAGAACCTCCATGCCATCCGCACAGACTCAGGCCTCATCCTGGAGTGGGAAGAAGTGATCCCCGAGGGCCCTTTGGAAAGCCCCCTGGGACCTTATAAATTGTCCTGGGTTCAGGACAATGGAACCCAGGTAAGGGGCACCCAGGTAAGGGGAGACAAGCCTCTGCTCTCCAGGTACACCGAGTCATCTGTCAGGACTCTTAAGACCTTTAGAGCTTCCGAATGGCTGTCCTTGGTGGGCCTGGGGACTTTGGTGGGCTGGGCCTCCCACCACCCCAGGGAGTCCACTTTTCCCCACCTTCCCCTGCAGGCTTCCCTCCTTATTGGATTGTCTCCTGTTAGGATTGCATCCGGTGGCCACTTGTAAAGCAGAAAGCACATTCCTAAACAGACTGGGGGAGGGCACGGATAAGGCTGTCTTATCCTCAGCCTGGTTCCTTCCCATCCCCCACCTCTGCCTGCCTGGACTGAGCCTTGTTTGTGTTCAGGGGAGGCCTCTGCGGCCTGGGGAAGGAATGTGATGACTCCCAGCAGGTTGTGTTCCTGAGGTCCCTGAACCCACAGTGTCCCTTACCTCCTGGGTTCCTAGCTGGACCTTTCTCTGCATTCAGGCCCCAGCTGGAGGCCTTTTCCTCAGACTCAAATGTGGGATGGGGGTTTTTCCTGGCTGCAGGGTGAGCTGACAGTGGAGGGGACCAGGGCCAACTTGACAGGCTGGGATCCGCAGAAGGACTTGACTGTGCGTGTGTGCATCTCCAATGCAGTTGGCTGTGGGCCCTGGAGTCAGCCACTGGTGGTCTCTTCTCATGACCATGCAGGTAAGGCCTGTAGGGGAAGGGCAGAGGGGATCAAGGCTCTCAAGGCCAACCTAGATTGGTGGAAGGAGCTTGGTAGCACCTTTGCTTCTAATAGACCCAAAGACTCAGCAGTTGAGGCCAGGGTTGGTATTTGAACTACATGTCCTTCTCCCCCTACCCCAGAACTAGCATAGAAATCCCTGGTCGTATTGTAGGTTCCAACAGCCAGGGCCTGTCACTGACAGGGTAGGAACTCTTGGGGCTTCCTTTGGAGCTTCTTTCCCCTCGGGACCTTTATTGACTTAAGAGAACCTCTTGTCCAGGCCAGATGGCCATCAGTGGAAAGTTCTAAAGGGACTCCTTGATGTCAGCCTCGCTCATGCCACTGCCCCCATCTCCCATAGGCCAGCATGGCCCTCCCCACAGCCGCACATCCTGGGTGCCTGTGGTCCTGGGTGTGCTGACAGCCTTGGTGACGGCCGCGGCCCTGGCCCTCATCCTGCTTCGAAAGAGGCGGAAGGAGACACGGTTCGGGTAAGGGGGTAAGGACAGGAGGGAGAGGCGGGCGATGACCGAAGATCTTGGGGCTGACTCCAAGTCCTGGGTTTCCCCTTAGGCAAGCCTTTGACAGTGTCATGGCCCGGGGAGAGCCGGCCGTTCACTTCCGGGCAGCCCGGTCCTTCAATCGGGAGCGGCCTGAGCGTATCGAGGCCACATGTGAGTGTGGGGAATCATAGGAAAAATGGACTATCTTCGCGCCCCTATCTGTATTCTTTTTGTTAGCTCATTAATTTGGCCAGTGTGTCTGAACATTAATGAGTCCTGAGCACACAACAGTGGAAAAGACACACAGACCTACCCTCGTGGAGGTTGCCATCCTAGCTGTGGGAGAGCTAAACTAAGCTCATGCCTTCTCTGGGGGCCGAGCCTGGGGTGTCGGTCAGGAGCCAGAGAGGCCCCTCTTCTGTCTCACCACCCTTCTCCCCACAGTGGACAGCTTGGGCATCAGTGATGAACTCAAGGACAAATTGGAGGATGTGCTCATCCCTGAGCAGCAGTTCACCCTGGGCCGGATGTTGGGCAAAGGTGTGTGGGGCTGCATGGGGATTAGCCGGAGTGGAGTTTGTCTTTGATTGCTCCCAGCACTTTGGGGGTGTGGGCTTGGGGCAGCTCCTGTGAACACAATATGCTGGTAGACTGCTGAGTCGGGGATGTTTGGGGGAATGGTGGCTGGGGATAAGGAGGGCAGAGGAGCACTCCCAGCATACTTTCGTCGGCTGTGGACAAGGGAGCCTCCTGCAGTGGCCCTGGAGTCTAGTGATTTGTGTCCCTGGGGAGGATCACCTTGAAGAAAAGGGGCTGGGGCTGGTAGGGCAAGGGGCCTCACCATCATTTGGGTCGGCTCCTAGGAGAGTTCGGTTCAGTGCGGGAGGCCCAGCTGAAGCAGGAGGATGGCTCCTTTGTGAAAGTGGCCGTCAAGATGCTGAAAGGTGAGTGGAGAATAGTAGACCTGGAGTGAGGAGTGGAAGGGGTCCTGAGCCGGAAGTAGGCTCTGCTGCACCCCTAGACTTTCCAAGAAGAGTTAGTCAGCACTAACTAGGATGCCGTCTGTGCCACGTGAATAATTCAAAAGCATAAACCCACACACATTTGCGCCCTTTGCTTTCTGTCGTCAGCAGTGACTGTCCTCTGGGCTCATTCAGGGTGATTAAAGCTGGTTGCCTGAGCGTCTGGGCTATCCAAACCAAAGGGAAGACCGTTAGCAAGTGGAAAGATGGTTGGAGAGCCCCACTCCATGGGAGTTTCTTCTGCTAATGGCCAGACTGTTTCCTGAGCCCTCTGGGAAGCCCAGGAAGGACAACGCCTAGGAGTCTTGGGTCAGAATTGGGGGCACATCTCCCTTATTCCCTCCCTTCCATCCTTCTAGCTGACATCATTGCTTCAAGTGACATTGAAGAGTTCCTCAGGGAAGCGGCTTGCATGAAGGAATTTGACCACCCACACGTGGCCAAGCTTGTTGGTGAGCTCCTTCTTGGGGGGAGGCAGATATACAATAGGGCTAAAAGTATGCTCCCCTAAGGTGGGAGGGCAGCCTGTAGGAGAGAAGTTTGGACTTAGCTGGTGAGGAAGCAGATAGCAAAATAGCAAGGAAGGTCCTGGCTGAAATCTGATCCAACTCCAGGTAAGGAGTTTATCGTGCAGGCCCTATACCAAAGGTCTGCACTTGAAGACTGCTCATGTGAACAGAGGAGAAGGAGGGGACAAGTAGATGCTCCAGAGATCTGGGGGGCAGCCAAATCTTAGGTAGTCACCAGTAGGTAGGCCAGTGTGGACTTACGGGGAGGGAGGTAGCAGAGCCAGGGCTAGAGATAGGACCTAGCAAGTGGCGGACTCATGCAAACACCTGAGCCATCTCTTGACTGCTGTGTGCCCTGCTCCTGACTCTCCCTTGTCGCCAGGGGTGAGCCTCCGCAGCAGGGCCAAAGGCCGTCTCCCCATCCCCATGGTCATCTTGCCCTTCATGAAGCACGGGGACCTGCACGCCTTCCTACTCGCCTCCCGGATTGGGGAGAATCCCTTTGTGAGTGCCTGAGGTGGAATGGCCAGGAGTTGGAAAGGGACAAAGACCCTGGCATTGAGTTTGGCTTGGTGGGCAGGGCCGATTAAACTGGTTGGGAAGAGGCAGGCTGGCTTTGACCCTTTTTATGTTAGAAGGCTTCCTTCTCCCTCACAAGCCCTGCTGGGAATTTTAGGCGGGGCAAGGGCCCACTTCTGGGAGAAGAGACCTCTAGAGCTCCACACTGGGAGTGTCTTGACTCTTGGATGCTCTCTCAGATCTGCCAAAGCTTCTTTGCCTTGGGAAGCCCCTCCAAACGCCCTCCTTTCAGTAATTCCAAGGACAGTCTTTAGGCTTTCTGGCCAGGGAACCCCCTTCATCCTGCCCTGGCTGGGTGGGCAGATCCAGCCCGAGCTTGCCCTGTCTGCCCACTAGAACCTGCCCCTGCAGACCCTGGTCCGGTTCATGGTGGACATCGCCTGTGGCATGGAGTACCTGAGCTCCCGGAACTTTATTCACCGAGACCTGGCTGCTCGGAATTGCATGTATGTGAATTCTAGAGGGCTCGGGGCGTGGGGTGGGTGGGGAACAGAGCAGCCTACGACAGGAGAACTAGCTAATGGTCGGCTCTCACCTGGGTGCGTGGGGACAGCTGGGGAGCAAAGATGCCCTGGTGTCCGTAAGGCTGACTGCATCCTCCAACACCCCTCACAGGCTGGCGGAAGACATGACAGTGTGCGTAGCTGACTTTGGGCTCTCCCGGAAGATCTATAGCGGGGACTACTATCGCCAGGGCTGTGCCTCCAAATTGCCTGTCAAGTGGCTGGCCCTGGAGAGCCTGGCTGACAACCTGTATACTGTGCACAGTGACGTGGTGAGCAGGGTGGCACAGTGAGGCTCGGTGGGAACGCAAGCAGCGTGGCCTAGGGTGTGGGTCCTTTCGAGTCCTCAAGGACCTAGCTGGGTCTCTTCTTTGGGCTTTGGCTGCCCCCTTATGAGGCCCCTGAGCCCTAAGATGTGCTTGCCTTAGGGTTCTGCCCAGCTCAGGAAACCTAGTGACATCTCCCCTCCAACCTTGCTTCCGTCCCAGTGGGCCTTCGGGGTGACCATGTGGGAGATCATGACTCGTGGGCAGACGCCGTATGCTGGCATTGAGAATGCTGAGATTTACAACTACCTCATCGGCGGGAACCGCCTGAAACAGCCTTCAGAGTGTACAGAGGACGTGTGAGTGCCCTGGGAAGGGGACCTGGGGAGGAAGGAGGAATTTGGGGTTTCAGGTGCTGCCTGCCACCACAGCTGCTGGTCCAGTGGGAGCGCGGAACCTCAACTGGACCTTTCGTTTTTTTGGTGGAAATGTCCTTGTCCCCAGAGGGAAGACCAACCTCCACTCCAAGCTGCCTCTTCATCTGCTACCTCCCGTTTACTCTCTCTCCTGCTTTCGCATCCTGTATTTTTTGTTCCACCCTTTCTTACACTCTTATTTTCTCCAGTTTCCAGGAAGAACCAGGAACCCCGAGGGCAGAAGGTACAGGGTTGAGCAACAGCACATGATTCTGTCACCTTCTCCCCACCCACCCCCCACTCCTTCTCAGTCCCCAACTAGTCTAAGAAAACCTCCCAGACTGAGCCCTCCCTCCCCCTCAGAGAGGGCTGCACCAGGGCAAGAAAAAACTGCCTCTCTGTCACATTCCTCGCTAGACAAGGAGGGGGCGTGGGGGGAGCGGGAGGTTGGCTTCCTCTTGAGGGAGTGGAGAGACCTAAGATCCCGGGGAGAAGAACTGCCTTCTTTCCTTTCTGAAAGCCTGGAGCCTTTGGGAGTGGGGTAGGGTAGGGATACACCCACTGCACAGTGGAGTGTTGTGAACCCCTCGTGACTGGAAGACAAGGTTACTAGCATTAGCTGGGTACTTTACAGGCATTCTTTCAGGTAATCCCCCTCTAACCCCATAAGGAAAAGACTATCATTATCCCTATTTTGTAGATGAAAAACTAAAGATTAAAGAGGTTAAGTAACATGGCCAAGGTCACACAGCTATTAAGTAGATGAGTTGGGATGTGAACCTAGATGCCTGTGATTTTAGAATAGGTGCCTCTTAACTATGACGCCAAATGTAATTTGTCCATTCTAGGGTTGTATTTCCCACCCTGTGCAAGCCAGTTTCCCTGGGGCCCTGGGGGACCTTTTCACTAGTACCAGGGGGAGGGAGTCCACAGTGATCCAGGGAAGGAATCTACTCCCTACTTCTTGCTGTGGGGCTGGACCAGAGGTCCAGGATCAGGGACAGGCAGAGGAAGGTGCCTGAATGGTGGGGTCCTTTTTCTCTAGGGCAGTTGGTTTGAAGTGCCCTGATCCTTGACTGTGGGTAAGAGGGAAATCTGAGGGCGCGAGCCAGGCCCTACCCCTCCTGCTCATCTGCACAGCTCAGGGCATGGCAGGGGCAGGAGCTCAGGTCTCCCTGTGGCTGTAGCCTGCCTGGGCATCTGGAGCTGCAGAGGTTCTGCTGGGCATCGGGGATCAGGCTCCGGCTTAGCTTCCTCTCAGGCCGGGGCTAGTGTTGTCAATAGGGCGGGCGCTGGCCTCCTACCAGCCAGCCTGGTGGACAGGCGCCAGTTGGCTCCTAGCACAGCCTTGACAATGTAGCCCAGCCTGGCCACATACCCATGGCCCCGGACCATTTCCATGGCCTCTTCGATGTCTGGCACCATTCCTCCCATCATTGGGGGCCCCTGTCAGGAGGGCCAGTGTGTGGGGCAGTGTTTGGGGCTTCTGTTGTAGGCACAAGAGAGTCAGGCATTTGCTCTGACTGCATCTGGTCAGAACCCCCTTCCCTTAGTTCTTTTTTTTTTTTTTTTTTTTCCCTTTAAGCCTGAGGCATTCCCTGGGAACAGGAATAAGACCTCAGGGAATCTGTAAGGCTCCTGAAAGTGTATGTAGAAAGTGTTCCTTCCCCGGGGGAGGGGGGGAAGGGGCGGGGAGGGCTGGAAGCTTTTCTAGATTCAAAGGTGTCCATGAACAATGAAGATTTAAGTCTGCCTGAGTGGGTGAGGATTTGGGACAAAGCGTGGCTGTTCAAATCCTTGCCATTAAAATAACACTGACTCCCGCTGTGTTCTGCAAGACAAAAGCATGCCTAGTGCCCCTCCCAGCAGAGCCTAGGACGGACTCTGGAGCTAGCTCCATCCCTTTCTACCTGTGTGACCTTGGGCAAGGTTCTTAACCTTTCTGGGCCTCAGTTTCCACAGTGGTAAAATAGGGATCATTTATTTCACAGGGTTGTGGTGAGCATTAAATGATAAATGTCAACTACTTAGAAGAGGGCCTGATACATAGTCCTACATACGGGTGTGTTAAAGAAAAGTTTCCCAAATCGTGGTTCCGTATGGTTAAGGGGCCTCAGCTTCTCCTCGGGGGTCCTCACTGCCACCCCTCACGCTCCTCTGCGCCCAGGTATGAGCTCATGTACCAGTGCTGGAGCGCCGACCCCAAGCGGCGCCCGACCTTCACGTGCCTGCGGATGGAGCTGGAGAGCATCCTGGGCCACCTGTCCGTGCTGTCCACCAGCCAGGACCCCTTGTACATCAACCTGGAGCGAGCCGAGGGGCCCGCCGAGGGAGGCCCCCTGCAGCTGCCTGGCGGGGACCAGGCCAGCAGCGGGGCCGGGGATGGCAGCAGTGTGGGGGCAGCGGAGGGCACCCCCAGTGACTATCGGTACATCCTCAGCCCTGAGGGGCTCGCCGAGCGGCCCGGGCAGGAGGAGGAGCCGCTGGAAAGCCCCACCAGTGAGGCCCGGAGGCAGCTCCTGCAGCAGCAGGGGCTCCTGCCCCACAGTAGCTGTTAGCCCACAGGCTGAGCGCGGCCGGGGCCGTGCTGCTGGCTGTGATGCTGGCCGAGGACCCTGGCCCGGGCCGCGCGGCGTGGGGGCTCCTGTGGCAGTCGTCCCAAGCTGCGCTGGAAGCCTGGACCGACCAAATGGCCCAATCCCAGTTCTTCCTGCGGCCACTCTGGGCTGCCTGGCATCGGCTCAGGCCGGGGCCGGGTGGAGGTGGGCCAGGCCTGGTTGCCTAAACCCAGGCAGCTGGCAGGAGGGGGGTGGTTATGTTTCCATGGTTACCGTGGGTGTGGAGAGGAGTTGGGGGAGGGTAGATCCAGCCCTGTGGGCCTCTACCCTCTGGCCGAGCTGCCCCTGCTGCTTCAGCGCATGCACTGAGGTGTCTCTCGCCCCGGGAGCCCCAGCCCTGCCCATGCTCGGGGTTTAAGTGTCCGGTTTTGCTCTTCCTCACAAAGAGATGCCCTTGTGTTATTCCCCTGTAGGTGAGAGTTGGTAAGGGGTTGATACAGTCAGGTCCCAAGTGCTGGGAGACAGTGGGGCACTCCCAGGTCTGAATCCTCGTCCCCTTCCTGATGACCCAGCCCGCCTAGGCCAGGAGTCAAGTGCAGCTGACCAGGTCACACAGCAAGGCATGCTGGATCACTGCAGGCTGCCATTTGCCCAGCCTCTAAAGGCAGGGCACCCAGCCTGGCAAGAGGAAGGGGTGCTGTAGGCCCTGCCCAGGAATGCGTGAGGCCAGAGAGGAGTCCAGGAGCCCCTCTTTACGCCCTCCCACAGTCTGTCTGAGCATGCTACCAAATCCCAAAATATCCTAAGACTAACAAAGGCAGCTGTGTCTGAGCTCAATCCTTCCATGCAGCGTCCCTTAGTCCCAGTTTTCCCTCTCCCTGGAGACCCTCTTCTGTCCCAAATCTCCAGAGACAGAGAGAAAATAGGCCTGATGGTTGGCGTGGGTGGGGGGGGAGTTACTGGAGCCTGGACCCCAGCCCTGGCTAGGGGAGCCCCTGGATTGCATGGGGCAGGCCCCTGCTGTTAGGGATATTTCCAAGCCGTTAGAAGCTGTTTAAAAACAGAAATAAAATTGAGAGCTAAAGACCCAAGGCTTTGTCTCTTAACTGTTTACTTTTTTCCAGATCGCAAAAATGAAGCATCTCTGCATAGAGAAAAATCTGGAAAGACATATGCCAAAATGTTAACAGCTGTTATCTTTACATGATGTGAGTTAAAGGGACTTGTTTTCCTTTGTGCCTTCCAAGTTTTCTGCACTGAGCACAAAATGCTTTTGTAATTAGAGAAGACCCCAAAATTTGTTATCACATTAAAGATAATACATAGTCATGTAGACAATTAGGAAAATGTAGAAAATCATTTTTAAAAGTGGCAAATACCTATATTCCTACCACCTAGAGATAGCCGCCCTTGACCTTTTGAAAATGTAAATGTTTTGAAAAAGTTCTTTATCTTGGAATAAGGACAAAGACTGCTTTGGCTGTCTCCTACTCCTCTATCAGACTTCCCTTCTATCGTTGGGTGTGGATACTTTGTTCTCATCTTTACACCATTGCTGGGAGCCAGGGGAAACTCTGGGAAGAAACAGGCAAAAAGAATGGTTTGCCTCTTCCGAATTAGAAGTTAAGAGCATGGGGCGCCTGGGTGGCTCAGTTGGTTAAGCGACTGCCTTCGGCTCAGGTCATGATCCTGGAGTCCCGGGATCGAGTCCCGCATCGGGCTCCCT